CTGCACCCAAATTAAATTTACGTCCTTTTTTTCCCCCACAAATAGAGCTTTCTTTCGGTGGTATTTGATCTCCTGTGTGTTTTTAATTTTTTGCGCTATAAAAAAAAAAAAAGGCCAACAATTTTGAGAAAACTATATTTTTTACTTTTTGCTATTAAACATGTCCAGTAAAAAAATTTAAAAAATCAAATTTCGTCATAAACTGAGGCCAAAATGCATTCTTCTCCGTGTCTTTGCTTAAAAAAAAAGATCCCAATACGTGTAAATTAATTGGTTTCCGTGAATGTTATAGCATTTACAAATGGCGGTATAGATTCTGGAATTTTTGTTTAATTTTTACTAGTAATGGCGGCGATCAGCGACTTATAGTGGGACTGCGGTGGGCATTCTGACACTGGGGGGAACTGACTTGGTGTCACTGACATCCCCAGTAACACCAATACAGTGGTCAGTGCTAAAAAAAAAAAAAAAAAAAAGCACTGACACTGTACTAATGGCACTGGGCAGGAAGGGGTTAACATGAGGGGCGATCAAAGGGTTAACTATGTGCTGTTTCACAGTAAGCTCTGTGTATATGCTTCACTGTAATCACACTGCTTTGGATGGCATCCAAAGCAGTGTGCCCGAGCTGACGGGATGAGAACTGCTAGTAAACAAAACAGTTCTCCCCGTCGGAAATCACTGGGCACCGACGAGTAATCACTGGCCAGCACCCAGTGACTGACGGCCGCAAACTGCGGCGTGGGTAGGGCACACGCGCCCCCTACCCGGAAATGCAAAATCACATGTATTTATACGTGATTTTGAGCACCCGTGCCGCCCTGTAGCAGTATATCTGCCATAGGGCAGTCGGGAAGCGGTTAAGCAGTGCCTTTTATTTATAGTTTCTCCCTTTCATTTGAGTTGCCTCAGCCAGTTACCTTGGACATTACACTTGTCATATGCAAAACTCTTCCAATGAAGCAGTTCCAGTTGCAGCAGCTGCATATCTTTTGTTTACAGGTATCTCCTGTCTTGGTACCAATCCAAGTCCCTGTACAGAGCACCGGTTGACATGTCATGCCTTTTGTGGATACACAGCAAAGGAGTGACAAGCTGTATTGTGAAACCACTCTCCGCAGCCTTTGTTTTCATGTCATGATCTCTGTGGGTAGTTGCGCTTGATCTGAGCCAGCTGAGCAGCTGATGATACCATATAATGATACTGAAATACGATTAGGAGCTGTGGATCCAGCTCTGGCAGTACAGGGCTGGTGAATCATTCTACTTGACTTAGCAAATGAAAGTATGGTTCGAAAGTGAATTAAACACAAAGCAGTCCTGTATGCCCATCCCGCCCTCTACCTCTAATGATGCTGTGTTTTAGTTAGAGATGCCAGCCTGTCAGGGATCACTGAAGTCCTTTGCCTTGCCCATTCAGTTCTGGTGTCAACTGTACAATTTTGATTTTCCCATCACGTTTCTCTCAGTGTCAACGGTCGCCAGAGCAAATAGAGAGTGTGAATCTTCCCGTCTGGGACAGCGATAAAAACCTGACATAGGTGGAGATCACTCACCACCTATCACGTACCTGGCGATGGAGGCCAATGGAGAGAGGCCTTCTCTTGCGGCTAAGTTCCGAACTCCCCTGAGAGTGGGGACAGCGGGAGTCTGGCCCAAAGTTGCACAGGTCGCCTGTAGGAGTGCTGGTTGGTGGTCCACTCAGAAGCACAGCTGGTGCACGGAGATAGGTCTGAAGACAGGAGGCCCCTGTGTGTGGTATGCAAGCCCTTCCGGGATTTAGATGTTCACTGGGTAGTCAGTTCAAGCCAAGGTCAGGTACCAGGTGGGAATCAGAGCAGACGTAGTCAGATGGGATAGCCGAGGTCATACACAGAGGAGCGAGAGAGAGAGTATCCGTAAGCCAGGCCGAGGTCAGATCAGGGGTAAGGCAGATTAGACAGGTCCAGGAGCAAGCCGAGTCGGTAACAGGTAATCACGGGTCAAAGTCACAGGGAACAGGACACGAGGAGCTAGAGATCATCCAACAACTTGAGGAAGTGATGAGCCTCCTTATAAAGGCAGTCCCGTCTGGCACCAAACTGAGTCTGATGTGTCCTTCTGCAGCCATGCAGAGTACTGGCAGAAATGCCAGATCTTCCAGAACTTGTGCCATGGGCAGGACCCTGACACCAGCACTCTAACATTCCATCCATCCACTCTAACATTCCCACACCACCCAAGAAATGGAAGTGAAAATAAAATACAGCAGAGAAAAAATCAGGTCTCCTGTCCACCTAAACATGGCTGTGCTGTGTGGCAGAGCTGTGTACATCTCAGGACTGAATAGACAGAAGTACAAATTGTTTGGCAGGTAAAACAGCTATATTTATGTCAGCTGTGTGTTAGCTGTTTACCTGGAGTTCGGCTGAAAAGTGTCATTAAACCAATTAAAAGGTAACGCCACTTTCATGGGGGGGGGAACGGCAAATAAAAAAAAATAATATAGCATATACAATTGCTACACAAGTCATATTGGAAATTGGAATTGAATGTTATTAAAAATTTCCATTCCTTTTCTGTAAAATGCAATGCAATATGGCACCGCAGATAGTGTACGAAACCCCCCCCCCCCCAGAAATGTAACTTCCTGCTTATGTGATTGGTTCACTGAATTTCCCAGAAACCTGCACTAATGCAGGCCATAGACGGGCTGTTTATCGGCCGAATTGTCGGCCGATAAACAAAAAATCGGTCGTTGCTGCCATGGATTCTGCCATAATGCTCACCAAAAACGGCCGTTTTTCGTGGACTTTCAAGCATGACCGATAAAGAGAAACGAGAAGATCCGCGAAAAATGGCCGACGGCATTGCTCCACTAATGGCGTGAATATCGGACCTTTGGCCTGCTTAAGATATAGGTCAGATTTTGGACATCCCCTGCAACCAAAATGTCTTTTTGGTGAAATATTCCTAAAGGGAAATCGTGTCCCTGTCACTTTCCTCATTAAAACCCTGCAAGTGTAGCAGCTGATTTGTCATTTAAAAAAATCACTCCTCTGCACATTCACTCTGCACATTGACACAAACAGCTATTTCTTCAGAATAACAAAAGGTAGGAACCTGCAACAAAGTTTGTTAAAATCCGTGCAGTGCACATAGATCACCCAGAGGGGAGGTTTTTTTTATTTTTTTGTCGTTTTTCTCAACAAAAGTTAGTCTTTAATAAAAATGTGTGTATATGTGTGTGTGCTCTCTCTCTCTCTCTCATAATTGTAAGGGCTTAGTCCACCTTTAAAAATAAATAAACACTCCATGCAGTCACTATATACAACAGCATCTCACCGTAAACCAATAGGATTTTAAGACAATGCTTCTCTTCTGCTAACATACCTGTAGGCCATTTTCACAATGACAGAAGCCTGCCGTAAAAACTGCAAATGCTTTTCATGGCAGCATCCTGTGGTCTCTGTATTTTGAAGCATCCATTAGGATAAGTGTCCCTAGCACCGTCCTGTTCCTGAGGGCCTCACCTGCACAGTGCGTTATTCGCTTGTCAACCCAGATGAGCTCAGCGGCTGCTACAGGATAGAGAGTGCACTTTACTTTTGCAGCCCCCAGGAAGAGGACTATGCCCTGTCCTGTATCTTGTTAGGGGGGCACTCATTCTGTCCTACAGCTTTACTGTGTCCTATACATGCTAGTAGTCTGCAGACACATAGTTACATAGTTAGTCTGGCTGGGAAAAGACAAATGTCATCCAGTTCACGCCGCTTGTCCTGCCCCTTTGCTGAAGATTTAGAGTGGATTCTGTGGTCCCCAAGCATCAATTTGAGGCTCAAAACACAGCTCTTTGATCTACAGGGAGAAGAATGGACACGGCGGTCACGTGATCACTCGTAAGATCAAATAATACATTTTATTTTAGTTTTGGAAATTTTTAGCTAAACGACATGCTTAGCCAGTGGGTAAAGAGTAAGGCCAGCCATACATGAGTTGAAAATTGGACCTAATTTCGATTTCAACCCAACCAATTTTCGCTCTGTTAGTGGGTCAATAGCACCGGCCGATTTTCGTGGTTCCTCCCCTTTTCGTTGATTGGACATGTTGGAAAATTTGTGAAAAACGACCGATTTTCAACTCAATGATGGTCAAATCGTACGATCGTTTGACCTGGAAGGAACAGAAGTTTTGTATGGTATATGGGGTGAACCATATGACTTGGTCGGCTGATTTTCGAAATCAATGATGGCGCCATCAGATTACCGAGCGAACATTTGCTCCGATTTTCGAACAAAAAATAATTCGGAATTCGAACCATGTATGGCCTGCATAACTCTACTTATGTTGAGAAAAAAAACACTCCCCTATTGATGATCTATGTACATTGCAGGGATTTTAACAAACATTGTTGCAGATTTCTCCCTTTTGTTCTGAAGAAATAGTTGTCTGTTGGTCTGTGTAATATGAAAAATGAATGTGAATGGGAGTGACTTTAGAATTATCTATCAGCTGCTGCACCTGCAGGGTTCCAGTGAAGAAAGTGACAGGGTCTGCATCGGTTTAAATGGGATTTCCCTTTGGGAGAATCTCAATAAAAATTACATTTGTTGCAGGGAATTCCCAAAATATGACTTGCATCTTAGTGAAGACTTCTGGGAAATCTGTGAGTCAATCCCACAAGCAGGAAAAGACATTTCTGGGGGGCGTTTTGTGCACCATCTGTGTACAGAACGCCTCCAGGTTGCCATATTGCATTCTACAGAAAATTACAGAGCTGCAGATTGAAAGGGAAAGGTCATTTTTAACAACATTCAATTACAATATGATTTGAGGTGCAGTTGTATACACTATATTATTTTTTATTTGCTATTTTTTTTCCACGAAAGTGGAGTTACCCTTTAAGCATTGCCGTGATGTGTGGGATACATTGGATTTACAGATACAACAACTAAAGACTACTGTTGAACAATGCTGATGTTTTACTCAAGGTTTCATTTTTGTATTTTTTTTCTAAACAGATCAAGCTACAGTATCAGGAGTTGAACGGAGAGAAACAGACGCCAGAGACGAACAACCATCATCGATCAGTGATTTAGACAGTGTTTTCGGCCTGTACTATCCCCTAGGTCTGTGGCTGTCACCTCTGAAGATAAATGGGTCAGGTTTTCTGACACTTCCCCAGAATCGATCTCTCCTGTCCCTGTCCCTGCTCTTTCCCCTGTCCCTGCTCCTGTCCCTGCTCCTGTCCCTGCTCCTGCCCCTGCTCCTGCTCCTTGTAGAATGGCTGAGTCCCCTTCAGTTGAAGAACCTGAAAGCCCATGTGAACCTTCTTCGCCGCCACCACCACCACCACCTCCTGCAGAAATATGTCGAAATATACCTTCTCCACTCAATCTGGAAGAGGTCCACAAGAAAATAGCAGAACAATCATTCGTTAAAGATGAAGTATTAGAAACAACAGCGTCTCCTAAAGATTTTGGGCTGGGACAAAGAGCTACCCCTCCTCCACCTCCGCCCCCCACATACAGGACTGTGGTGTCTTCTCCCGGGCCCAGTTCAAGTAGCGGCACTGGAAGCGCAAGTGGTACATTTTTACTTACTTTTATATTGTTTATGGCAATTGTATTTAAGTGATATTAATGGCATGTTCTTTTTTTTTTTTTTTTTTTTTTTTTAAATAACATGTCATACTTACCTGCTGTGTGTAATTGTTTTGCACAGAGCGGCCCCGATCCTTCTCTTCTCAGGTCCCCTGCCAGCGCTCCTGGCACCTCCCTCATGCCTAGTGCCCCCAGAGCAAGCAGTTTGCTATGGGGGGACCCGAGCAGGCTCGCTCCAAAGCCACTGTTCTGTGTGTCCATTCACACATGGAGCACAGCTCGGCTCCACCCACGCTCTTCCCTTATTGGCTCACTGGCTGTGATTGATAGTAGCGGGAGTCACTGGCTCCCGCTGCTCTTTCAGTCTATGAGCAGGGAGAGCTGAGGCTCTCATGCACAGCGCTGAATCTGTTTTAGGGGGGACCTCTGCACACAAAAGGTTTTTTACTTTCATGCATAGAATGCATGACCTTGAGCCTTTACAACCACTTTAAGGGATAAATTCACATTTACATAAAAAAAATAATATATATTATTATTATACAAGATTTGTATCGCGCCAGCAGTTTGCTCAGCGCTTTACAATGTAAAGGGAGACAATACAGCAATAATACAGTTCAATACAAGAGGGATAGGAGGGCCCTGATCCTGGGAGCTTACAATCTAGGAGATATATGCCAAAATTTGTGCAGGAAAAATGTGCATTTATTATTTTTTTTAAAACCGGAGCCTGCAAAATACTGCACCTTCAGGCTCCTGCCCACACTGCCTTCAGCTCTGTCCCCGTACCTCTGTACAGGCTGTAATGGAATACAAGCATGCTGATTGGCTTGCCCACAGATCATTCAAACTACAAGTCTGTGTGCCACAGTAGCAGATGGTATTGGAGTTTATTCATTCACAGTAATCTGTGAATGAATGATGCGGCTGTGTGGATGGAGTCCCGCACAGCTGCACTATTTTAAAAAAGTGACAGCAGGATAGGGAGGGTGGGATGGGGGGGGAGGCAGAAGCTGGAATATGGTTCATTTTTCACTATAAATACAGGTGGAACATGTGATATTTTCCAAAGATGAACCTATCCTTTAAACATTTTTTTTTTTTTTTTTAATAGGCAAAATGCTATTAAGAAGCAGGGGTGGGGAAATTAGGTGTATATTCTTTCTTGTTTGTTTTAAACTATTGATAAAGGTTTTAGGTTTACAATGGGAGGTTATGTGAATGTTTAAAATTAAAATGTTTGATTGCATTTTCCTTTTACCGGTTTCATTCAAGGGTCCCAATTTAATGAGGTATGCAATCACATTCTGATTATAAAATAGGAGTTGTCATGGGGATGTGAAATTAGGTCCAGTTGGCCTTGGTCCACATCTTAGTCTTAGGAAAAATTGTTATTTATGTGCTACAAATACCAAAAGCCTTTTTCAAACGGCTGCGAGTCGACCTTTTGGATTGATCTTCGGCCCTGCAGAATGTACAATGAAGTTTGTCCACAAAGTATATTTGCCATAAAGCTGGGCACTTTAACCTTGAACAAAACAAGTAAAAATGCTATTAGTTGAAGGTCAGCTAAGGTTAAATGCAGATCAGTTTTTCCTGTAAAAGTCAAGCTTGGCCCTCCCTACTGAGCCTCTCTGTTAGACACCGAGGTCTCTGTCACATTAAAGCGATACTGAACAGAGAAGTGTTAATTGCCATAATTCATATATATCATTACACTGTATTTTGTTTTTTGTGGGTTTTTTGCAGAGAAAGACCCTTGGGAGGGGCCTCTGTTACTACAGTATGAGTCTGTCTGCACAGCCCTGATTTTTCAAAAGAGCAATTCAAACTAAATTATAAATATCCAAAAACTGTTTTACAGCTCCCTATAAATCTTTATTAAACAGGAGATGTGTATTTTTTTGTGCATTAATATGGTGTAGGCGGAGTCAAAGATGATTGACACTAATTTTCATTTTGTTCAGACAACATCTAGTTCCATGGCTGTTTTTATACTTTACAGGTTATTGGCAACCACGTTTTTTTAAATGTGTTTGAAAAACCGCTGTGCGAATACCGAGTGACATAAAAAATTGCAACACCCACCGTTTTATTCTCTAGGGGCTCTGCTTAAAAATATATATATATATATAATGATTTTTACATGTAAACAAAAAGTGTCAGAAAAGGCTGGTGGTCAGTGGAACATTGCCCCTCTGTGCTAGTGGTCAGTAAAACATTGCCCCCTTGTGCGGTCACTGGAACATTTCCCCTCTATGCCGGTCAGTGGAACATTTCCCCTCTGTGCCGGCGCTCAGTGGAACATTTCCCCTCTGTGCCGGCGCTCAGTGGAACATTTCCCCTCTGTGCCGGCGCTCAGTGGAACATTGGAACCCCTCTGTGCCGGCGCTCAGTGGAACATTTCCCCTCTGTGCCGGCGCTCAGTGGAACATTTCCCCTCTGTGCCGGCGCTCAGTGGAACATTTCCCCTCTGTGCCGGCGCTCAGTGGAACATTTCCCCTCTGTGCCGGCGCTCAGTGGAACATTTCCCCTCTGTGCCGGCGCTCAGTGGAACATTTCCCCTCTGTGCCGGCGCTCAGTGGAACATTTCCCCTCTGTGCCGGCGCTCAGTGGAACATTTCCCCTCTGTGCCGGCGCTCAGTGGAACATTTCCCCTCTGTGCCGGCGCTCAGTGGAACATTTTCTGTGCCGGCTCAGTGGAACATTTCCCCTCTGTGCCGGCGCTCAGTGGAACATTTCCCCTCTGTGCCGGCGCTCAGTGGAACATTTCCCCTCTGTGCCGGCGCTCAGTGGAACATTTCCCCTGTGTGCCGCGCTCAGTGGAACATTTCCCCTCTGTGCCGGCGCTCAGTGGAACATTTCCCCTCTGTGCCGGCGCTCAGTGGAACATTTCCCCTCTGTGCCGGCGCTCAGTGGAACATTTCCCCTCTGTGCCGGCGCTCAGTGGAACATTTCCCCTCCTCAGTGGAACATTTTCCCCTCTGTGCCGGCGCTCAGTGGAACATTGCCCCTCTGTGCCGGCGCTCAGTGGAACATTGCCCCTCTGTGCCGGCGCTCAGTGGAACATTGCCCCTCTGTGTGCCGGCGAACATTTCCCCTCTCAGTGGAACATTTCCCCTCTGTGCCGGCGCTCAGTGGAACATTTCCCCTCTGTGCCGGCGCTCAGTGCCGGCGCTCAGTGGAACATTTCCCCTCTGTGCCGGCGCTCAGTGGAACATTGTGCCGGCGCTCAGTGGAACATTGCCCCTCTGTTCTAGTGGTCAGTGTGGAACATTGCCACTCTGTGCTGGTGGTCAGCAAATTCAAGAGGAACTCCAGCTGTAAATGTCCAATGTACGAGTTGTTTTTTCTAAACTAAAACCTCCCTATTCAGGTTTAGTTGCAGTGTTGGCACTCTGCGATAAATAAGTGGGTTTTGGGTCGCAGTTTGGGCACTCGGGCTCCAAAAGGCTCACCATCACTGCTATAGAGACTCTGTGGGATCAGTGCTATGACTTTCCTCCTGAAACCCCTTCCTTGTCTGCTGTTTAGGAACAAGATGGATGGCATTCTGGTGATTGATCCAGATTGATCCAGGCATCTTAGGAGTTCAGACTTGATAGGGTTTCCAGCAGATACACTGCGGGCCCTTCCAGATTCCAGATCTACTGTCCCAGGGCTGATTTACCATCCTGCTTTCTGGTCCCTGGCTATAATAGCATTTAAAGGTGTACTGACTTTTCCACATGACTGTATATGCAGCTGTATTCAAAACCGTAATAGATATAAAAATAATAAAAAGGTATTTTGGGGCATCCCTGTGATCCACCTTCGTAAAATCCGCACGTTCCTAACCCCAGAACCCACTAAACAGCTCATCCACTCCCTCATCATATCACGACTCGACTACTGCAACTCCCTCCTCACTGGCCTGCCTCGCCGCTGGCTATCCCCGCTTCAGTCCATCCTGAATACGGCTGCCAGACTCATTCACCTTTCCAACCGCTCCGTTTCCGCCACCCCCCCTCTGCCAATCCCTCCACTGGCTTCTGATTGCGCAACGGATCAAATTCAAAATCCTAACACTGACATACAAAGCCCTCCACCATACTGCCCCGAACTACATCACTGACCTAATATCCAAGTACCACCCACACACACACACTCCGCTCCTCACAAGACCTCCTTCTCTCTAGTTCCCTGGTCTCCTCCTCCCATGCCCGCCTCCAGGACTTCTCCAGGGTGTCACCCATCCTCTGGAACTCCCTGCCCCAACCCATCAGATTATCACCTACTCTCCTCTCCTTTAGGCGCACCCTGAAAACCCACCTCTTCAGGGAATCCTACCCCACCCCCTGCTAACCTGCCGACCTCCTCCACTCTTCCTACCACTCCATCCCCCACAGCTATCTCCTCCTGTGCCACCATCCCCTCCCTCCTAGATTGTAAGCTCCAAAGAGCAGGGCCCTCGATCCTCTCATGTTTTGCATTGTATTGGTATTGTTCTGTCACATGTTCTGTCCCCCTTTGTAATGTACAGCGCTGAGCGAACTATTGGCGCTTTATAAATACTGTATAATAATAATAATTTCCGCAGACAGCCTGTGGTGGTTTTGCCTGCGGGGTCCCTTCCAGAGTTCTGCTCCATGCACAGGCTTTGTACAGCACAGTGATGCTACTTTGATAAGATAACTGTGTTTGCAAAGGCATTTGGTGCACACAAAGTAGATTTATTTCCTTTGTGGCCATTGAGGAATATATTTTGGTTTTGGTAGAACTTTAAAACTTCCTATGATCTGTAACGGATTCCGAGAAATGGATTTTTATGGTACCGACTGCAATCTTATTGTATTCCAGCCCACTTGTCTTTAGATATCTCCTTCATTAATTTTCTTTTTTCCAGGCTTTTTTCACCTTTTAGTTTTACTTTAGAGTGAACTTGTTCTTTTCCCATGGTAGGCACTATAAACATTCTGTACTTGCCTTACTCTACCTCCTCTTGTTTTCCATTTGACTGCCAGAGCCCCCAGAAACTCCCTTGAAAGTTTTACCTTTCTGACAAAGTCAAAATTCCCACAGATTTGTGCACGCTCCTTCTGCCCTCACATGACAGTGATTGGGTATGGCAATTGGGCATTCAGCCACTTGAGTGCAATATCATAGGCGACTAGAGGGAGTGTCATAGGATCTTCCATGCCCTGAGGCGGTGGGTGTTCCTTGGGGTCTGACAGCAGGATAGGGGGCAAGGGGGTACAGGATTGTGCCTGCTGTAAAGTGAGCCTGTTACTTTACCTACTATGATAAAAGACAACGTATGCATTTTTGTGCAATGTTTTCCACTTTGTAGCAAATAATATATGTTTTTTGTTTTTTTTCTTCCATTTTCCTTCCTTTTAGGGACATCATCTCCTGCCCGCCCTGCAACTCCTCTCGCCACCTGCAGTACAACCCTCCACCACCACCTCCTCGTCCACCATCTCGACCTAAACTGCCTCCGGGAAAACCTACAGTTACAGATGTGGTGAGTTCTGCTTGTACATTTAGTAATAGTGGTATCTGTCATCGAATTTTCTACTTTTCAAGATTCCAAAGTGTGTGTTCTTTTTGACCTTCAGAGCAGTCTAGACTTGATTGTCCCTTTCATTAGTGTGCTTATGTCACTTCATTAACCGCATGCTGTGCTTTGGCTAAATATTGTCCTAATATTTTACCTAGGAGAATTGGATGAAAGAGATGATGTCACCTTCTCCATTCAGGGCAAAGCAACAGTGTCTGTGTATAGTCCGCCCCCCTCCCCAGCCACTTTACATTTACCTGTCTATAGCTCTATTCCGCTGCTTCCTCCTCTTCTGTATGTACCACTGCAAAATACCCAATGCTTCCAGGTATAGGGGAGTACGTTTAACAATTTAACACTTCAGCGTTATATACATTCAAATATCACATAAAGATAAATAGCAACAAAAAAGCAGCCAGCACAGTATCGCAGGTAACAATACATAAAGCATATAAAACAGAAAAAGTACAGCGCTATAAATAAAATAAAAAAACTAAAATAAAAATGAAAAATCCAATGATTTCCAACCGGAATAAAAAGGCTCTCATGAAAAATATAAATTCAAAAAATCACTATGGGAGTCCACCATCACCAGTACCTCAGAAAATACTGCCTCTTACCAGACTGAAATGACCCCACAATTAAGTGCGGGTCAAGAAAAGCATATTACGGATATCAAATTTGGATGACAAACTCACACTTTTGACTCTGGAAGGATAAGATGATTTCCAAGTATAGACAGACGCCTGTTGGATCCCTCACAATGGATTCCCATATCAAGGCATTAACTCCCAACCAGGGGCTGACTGACCATTTGGAAACTCAGGCACTGCCCGAGGGCCCGGGGTCAGTAGGGGGCCCCATGAGATGCCCCTGGTACCTTTTTCATAGGCTTTTTTTTTTGAGTTTGGGCAAGGACACAGGGGCCCCATGATCCCCTATTGCCCGGGGGCCCCATGAGTTGTCAGTCCGCCCCTGCTCCCAACCGATATTCCAGATAATTTGCCAGATGTAGACCTAAAAAAATGAATTATCCTCAAACATGCAAAATCATCCAAAAAAGCAAAAGAATCCTCATAGTGTAGTATAATTAAAATTATTTATTGCCTTACAACATAGTATTAAACATACATCAAAAGAAAATTAAAGCAGCATGTCACCATATAACCAAATGGTATGTTTCTAACCAACAAGATGGCCACCACATTCCAGTGACGTCACGCGCTCTGGCTCCTTCAAACGCGTTTCGTCATCTGTGACATCTTCAGGAGCGTATAGGGGAGTACATGTTCTCCTTCAATGATGCCATGTTCAGGCCTGACATGATAAAGAGAGTGACATCATGGCTACCTCTGAGTTTTGACAGCAGCTGACGTGTTTTTTTTGGTGGCAGTTGTGACAGAGAGGAAGGCGCGCTGGAGTATAAAGCGGTCCAGGCTTTACACAGATGCAGTCAATTTGCCCTCTCCCACTGACAACATGGCCAAACGGCACTATAGTGCAGAGAAATCATCCCCTGTTGCATCTTCAGAAACACACTCCCGAAAGCTGCAATCTCCTTAACTCTGGTGTACTAGTGGTTTCTCCTGCTAACACCTACATCTTCCAAAATCGGTGAAGGGAACTGCTGAGTGCAGCAGGGAACACGAGATTGAAATGCATGGAAATGTTAGCTTCTGAAAATACTTCAGGGGATGAATTCCCTGCTTTGGTGCGGTTTTCAGCACCACAAGCAGCAGGAGCGGCATTTACTTTCTTCTTTGCAGGAGATCTTTTATTCAGACTTTGAGTTAAAGCAGAACTCCAGGCAAAAACATCTTTACATGTCCTTTTTCCTGATTTCCTACGTTCACTGAATATGTCATCCATCTTCTGGTTCACTCAGTAGTTGCTCTGAAACAGCTATTATTCATTTTCAAATTAAATCATTAATTATCTTTGGTTTTTTGTTTGTAAGACCGGTGGCTGCTTTGTCTCTTATTCCCCCAGCCACGGATCTTGGCACATCCCTTCTGTAGTTCTTCCTCCAGGAAGCAGTGATGTAATTCAGCCCCACTTGCAGTAGTGGGCAGACTGAGACTGTCAGGAACCATCGCGACGCATGGGTCTACACATGCGTAGGTGTCTGCCGAGACGTATAGGTGGCAGGGCACTAGGACCCAGGCGTACCTGTCGTCTGGACAGTACTAGACAGGCACTAGGACCCAGGCTACGCCTGTCAGGTGCAGGGCGGCCTATTTAAGCTAGCCCTGCACAGACACTTGTTGCCGAATGGTCTTTGTATCCTGTTACCTGTGTGTGAGTACTTCTGATCTGGATTGTTTTGACCTTGTTGCCTTCTCCCGTCCTGACCCCTTGGCTTGCCTGACTCTGCTCCCGGATGTTCCCGTTTAGATCTGACCTCCTGGTATTGACCCTGCGTGTGACCCGACTATCCTTTGCCTACCGTTTTGTACTTTACCGATCCTCTAGTTATCATCCCGGCCTGCATGACTCTGATTTAGCTCATCCATCCATCCACCCCGCAGGGATCACTAGGCTCCCTTACATCAGACTCCTAGCTCTCTGGAGCCCCTGTCAGACTCCTCTACCCCTGTTGGAGATACCTGGTAGTTGCGACCTGGTACCGGAGCGCTTCAAGTCCATCCCCACCATCAGGGGCCCTGGTGAACAAGTGTGCTCCGGTGCTTAGACTCCGCACGCTGGGAAGGCTCTACCGGGGGACTGATAGAGGTGCTGTCAGGCGGTCCCTTACAGAGACTCTGACACATTTAATATGTACAGTCCTAGTGTACCTGCCTACATTCCCTACAATTCGTGTGGTTGATGGGAACTGTAGGCTCCTTTTACTGCAGAGAGAGGAGAGGATGTGATGTAATCCCGGCTCTTACACCTCCTCCTTGGCAGAGTAGATGTCCTTATCTTTTGAATTGCAGAGATGAGGTCATGAAAATTCAATTAGACTTTTCTCCTAAATGGTAAGGATTTTCAAAATTGTATTAACTGTTTGGTGAAATAGCTTTAACTTTTTTTGCAAGAGGAATGTAGAATTGATAATCATCTTGGGTTTCTAACCATTTTTTTTCCTATTTCCCTCAGTCACGACCATTCAGTCCCCCTGTTCACTCCTCCAGTCCACCTCCTATCGCCCCTCTAGCCCGAGCTGAGAGCACATCGTCCATTTCCTCAGCTACATCTCTGAGTGCAGCCACCACACCGACAGTTGGTAAATAGCACTTTTTATTTTCCTGTTCTAAACACTGTTTTCTGTTTTCATGTATGTGGCGTTCTGTGCACATTAACTTACTCCTCCTCCTAGTTTCATGTTGACATCACGTATACTATATATTATTTGCTCAAATTATAGGTGCAATCACACATATTTCAAACTAGTAACTTTAAAATCACAACTACATAGTCACAGAAAGAGAAAACAAGAACATATTGCCCAATGCGGTCTAATAAATGCTCCAATAAGCAATGTGTGCTTCAACACCAACTTATAGACTCCTGAAGTTATATTAGTCACCAGTGCCAAACTTTGAGTCCATTTACACTGCTGTACATCTGGAAACATTTTCACATACCTTTCTTAGCGCTTTTTCAGCTTTGTAAAAATTCACTATGGTGAGTTTTTCTTGTATTTTTGTATATGTGTAACTATGTGCAAAACATACTAAAACACATCAAAATGTATTCTTAGGCTCCATCCACACTAGCATTTTTTTTTTTTAAGCTAAAAAAAACGGTGGTTAAAAACCACTGGTAAAAGCGTTTTTTAGTGTTTTTAGTATCGTTCAAAAGAGTTTAGGAGCATTGACGTTTTATTAGCGTTTTTATAGTACATGTAAAAAAAAAAACTAGAGAAAACATGTTAGGAGCATTTTAGTAGCGTTTAGCAGTATTTTAGAGTTTTTTTTCCTGCTTTCAAAACGCGCCCAAAAAAAACTCTAAAAAAACAATTTTTTTTCTACTCCTAGATGCCGATGCTCAAAAAATACTAATAGTCTAAAGTAGTGTGCATGGACACACAGGATAGCACTATTTACCTTCTAGGAGCACAGAGGCTAAATGGTTAGCACTTCCGCCTGGCAGTACTAGGGTCGTCGGTTCAAATCCCAACCACGGCACCACCTGCCTGGAGTTTGCATGTTCTCCCTTTGCCTGCGTGGGTTTTTCTCCGGGTACTCTGGTTTCCTCCCACGCTCCGAAGACATGCTGGTAGGTTAATTGGCGCCTGTCTAAATTGTCCCTAGTATGTGTATGTATGAATGTACCTTAGGGACTTTAGATTGTACGCCCCTTGAGGGTTAGGGACTGATGTGAATGTACAATATATATGTAAAGCGCGGAGTAAATTTACGGCGCTATAGAAGTACCTGAAATAAATAAATAGGAGCAGAAAAAAAAATTCTGATAACCTCTTCTAGCAGCTTACAAAAATGCTCATGTGAATGGAGCTTTAAAATGTGAAAACACTTGCATTTTTGAATTGCAGCAGTGTGAGCAGACTGTAAAGGTGACTCTAGAGGTAGACGTCCCAAAACACATCTGCTTAACTGAGTCTTGGTGCTTATTGTTGTGTGGGAGGGGGGTGGACAGTCGACAGCTTGGTGTAAGCTCAAAGACGCCTGATCATGTAAGTTTATCATGAAGGAAATGGTAGTGATTGGATGTGGTTTTCTATCCTGTTCAATCTATATTTCTTCCAGTAGGTGCAATTTTCACTTGCGTGTTCTTGTGTCTTTAGTTAAAACTAATGGAAAAAACTTTTTTTTTTTTTCTCATTTTGGATAGAGTAAGGAGGGTTATAACCCCTGTCATTTTTTTCTGTACCATTGGCAAGATTTACCCTCGCTTCCTGTCCCATAGTCAAAACAGGAAGTGAGAAGAAATAACCCCACAAGTGAGGGAATTCTTGGTTGTCATCAGAACTAGTGTCCCCTTTGGAAGATGTCCCCTCTGTTCCTGCTCTGGGGACATCTCAAAATTTGGGATTTTCTTTTACCATGTTTCCCCGAAAATGAGACTTACCCATAAAATAAGCCGTAGCAGGAATTCTAAGCATTTGGGCAATATAAGCCATACCCCAATATAAGACATAGTGATGGACGGGCAGCCCTTCTCATCTCCCCGATTGTGACAGCTGCTATCTCGGAGGTGAACGTAGAGGTTATGGGCAGCCCCATCAAAAATGGCGGCTCACGGTCATTCTGTCATTCTGTGCATGCTGCAAGTTGATTCATAGAGGGAGACAGTGAAGAGGTAGAAAGTAAAAGTAAAAGTCTCCTCAGTGAACTGAGGAGCAGGACGCTCTGCTTTAGGTACCGTATTGTGTGTCCTCAGGGGGAAGAAGTAAAGCTGTGCCTGCTGTTTTACTCAGCACCAGGGGCGGACTGACCACTTGGAAACTCGGGCACTGCCTGGGGGCCCGGGGTCAGTAGGGGGCCCCATGAGATGCCCCTGGTACCTTTTTCATAGGCTTTTTGAGTTTGGGCAAGTACACAGGGGCCCCATGATCCCCTGTTGCCCGGGGGCCCCATAAGTTGTCAGTCCGCCCCTGCTCAGCACTGTGGGTCTCTCTCCCCCAGCACCAACCAGCAACAGTCTGTGGGTCTCTCTCATCCCCCACAAACACCAGTAAAGCTGCTGCTCCCCATACTTACCATATGTACCATACTTAATAAAAATAAGACATCCCCTGAAAATAAGCCATAGTGTGTCTTCTTGAGGAAAAAGAAATATAAGACAGTCTCTTATTTTCGGGGAAACACGGTACTTTCTGGTGATAATGGTAAACAGGACACATAGAGAGGGGGAATCTCCCTAATGGGAACACAGAAAGCAATAAAAACCTGACTGATGTTCTAATCCCTCCCCACTCTAGCCAAAACTTAAAAAAGGTTTGCCTTTATTTATAAAGTCGGTTATTAATTGTGTATCTTTATGCAAACCAAGGATACACTGCAGCAGGTATAACAGCAACTGCACTTAGAGGCTTGTTTGCTTTAATCAAACATGAAAAACACTTGGAAATCCCCTTTTTAATGATGGTTAGTGCTGGGGTTGAGGCTCCAACCTAGATCTCTACCAGTCAGCTGGTTGGAGCAAGGTCCAAGGCCAGAGGATCTACTTAGGAGCAACCCAGCTGTTGACCTGAAAACCACACCCTTTCCAATGAATTCCGTGAATGGCAGGGGATGCGTATTGTGTGTCCCTTTTTGCTAAAGAATATGGGCCAGCTCTGGTGGCACATACGCAGGATTTCTTTTTACTTCGGGAAAGATCTTTATTTAATTTTAATAAAAGTGGATGTTAACAAAAATATTCTTAAAGTAGAACTATAGGCAAATGTTTTTTTCATTTTGCAAGGGAGGGTTATAGCCCCTGTTAGAATTTTATTCCCTATCTGCATCCGATTGCAGAGACTTCCCTTCACTTCCTGTCCCATAGCCAAAATGGGAAGTAAGAGAAAATCCCTGCAAATTAAGGGAATTTGTTGGGGACCCCCAGGTCACCAGAACTAGTGTCCCCATTTATGGATTTCCCCTTTATTACTTTTATGGGGACAACCCAAAATTTGGGATTTTCTTTTTCTTTCACTTTCAATTTTAACGGTAAACAGGACAAATAGGGGGAATCACCTTAACGAGGCCACAGACAGCAATAAAAACCAAATAGGTGTTTTAATCCATCTGCCCTCTATCCAAGACTAAAAGGAAAAAAAGTTTTGCCTTTAGTTATACTTTAAACTGTATGTAAAGCCAAAACTATTAAAAGTATGCATAGCAATAGGATTGGTTAAAACCCCTGTTAGTTTATTAATTTAATTATTTTTTACATTTGTGTCCTCATTGGTGGGATTTCTCTTTACTTTCTGTCCCATAAACACAACAGGATTGATGAAGAAAATGTTTCTATAATTTGGGAAATACCCTGTTAGTTGATAGAACAAAAGTCTCCTTTAGATAATTTCCCTCATATCCTTGTTCTGGTGACAACTCTAAAATCATGGATTTTTAGTCACTTTAAATCTTGGGGATGATGGTGACCGTAAAAAAAAAAACTGACAGGGGTTCTGAGTGCTTACAACTTTATCAAAAACTATCAAAAAATCCCTTTGGGCCTTAGATGCACTTTACGAGTCCTTTAGTATGTTACCTCAATTGATAGGCTGGCTCAAATACCTTTCCCAGAGAAAGAAACACTAGTTGCCTGGCTATCATGGTAACACTTTGGCTTCTGAGTCCCTGTAATAAACATGCAGCAAGTTAGGATATCATTCTCGATGCTTGTTCTAGATGAGAGATTTAGAATTACTGTGGCCTGAACTCAAAAAATTAAGTTTTTCTATCTTATTGGAAACAATTAGAAATGTTAAAACTAAATCCCATGTATGGAGTTTATACCATAGTTACATTTCTCCAGGTTGGACCAATGCAAGTATGCATATGTCATACCTGTGGGATTCCTGTGAAAACTAAAAAAATCTCTCTAATAGTCTCTGCTAATACAGTGATTGCCGCTATCTTTTGGGTCCCATGCCAAGCAGCTGCCCTGCTGCTGAACATGGGGTTGCTCGCTCTGCACAGGCGTCATTTGCAAAACGCCTTGCATTTTTCTCAATGAATGCAAGATGTCCTCTGATTGGACATGTGGGAGATTGTTGTATCACTACCCTATCTCTCCACCTCATCCAACCAGAGAACACCTTGCATTAAGAAAATTGTAAGGTGTTCTTAAAATGGCGCCTGTGCCAAGCGAGCGATCCCATATTCACAATGAAGTAGGGCAGCTGCTCAGCATGGGACCCAAAAGATAGCGATCCGAAGGGAATGTCGCTCGCTCATCACGATCCTGCATGAAGAGCTGACGACCCCTGTGGTAGCAGAACAGAAAACTACAGTGATTTCCACAGAAATCCCACAGGTATGGCATTTGCATACTTTGTTCAAGTAAACTATGTTATAAAATCTATACCTGGAAATCAGCTTTAATTGTGCCTCAGCAGCACCCTGAAAATCTTTATTCTGTCCTAAATTACTCTTGAAAAACATCAGTGCACTCTCCTGTTCAGTAGTCTCTCTATATCTTCAATGTGAGATTATCTAAGGCACTGCTGCCTCTGACTGCCAGTCTTACCAGATTTGGAATAAGATTTGGTGATGTCACTGCTATGCTGCTTAATGTTCTCCTTGCTGGAGAGGAAGCTGTCCCTGAAAATCT